GCTGCCGCCGCGGGGGCGGGAAGGCGGGGGGGCGGAGCGGGCGCCATGGCGGCCGTGAGGCGGGACGGGCTGTGGGCGGTGGCTCACCGTGAGGGGAAGGGAGGGAGCGGCTCCTTCAAGGTGCCCGCCGATAAAAAAGTTAATTTTAGCGTTAGGTCAAGTTGCAAAGCATCGACAAAACCTGTATTTCTACGGTATTGCATTCTATTCTACAGATCGCTCTTGCCTTGGTAGCCACATACAGCCTTAAAAATAGCAGCACAGCATCTGCTTAAAAAGAAGTAAATGACTATTTCTCTGATTTCCATAAAAATGGTTGGTTCAGTTACGGAGTCTGACAACGAATCCCCAAGTCAAGAGAAGCATTAAACCAATATAATTAATATTTTAACTTCTGACCTGGCACTGAGGTTATCTGAGCCTCGGGGTGGTCTCTTCCTGACAGAAGCCCTCATGGCAATAAAACTACACTTTTACCTGATGCTCCTCTGTGAGCACCAAGGCACCAAAAGCAAAGAAATAAAGTATTTTGCATAGACTACAAGAGCAGGAGTTGACTACTGCCTCTAAAACTAAATTGCAGATGGTACCTGCAGGGCCAAGGCAAAGCAAGGGGTTCATGCCAGAGAAAAGGGTCACAGGGAGGCTGGTAGCTCTAACAGCCAATATTCCATAGGTTATATTTTAGTTATATTTTACTGAAGATGAAGAAGAAACACAAATCTAACTCGTGGTTGCTTCATTTTATAGGTGCACCTGATGATTTCGGCAAGCCCCACGCTACTTGATTGTACAGTCACAGATGTGCAGAATGAATAATTTCATAGAAACACTGAATGGTTTAGGTTGAAAGGGACTTTAAAGATCTTTTATTGCTAACCCTTGCCACAGGCAGGGACACCTTCTACCACCCCAGGTTACTCCAAGCCCCATCCAATCTGGCCTTGAACACTTCCATGGATGGAGCATCCACAGCTTCTCTGGGCATCCTGTGCCAGAGTCTCACCATCATCACAGTGAAGAGCTTCTTCCCCATATCCAATTGAAACCTATTTTCTTTCAGTTTAAAGCCATCCCCCTTGTTACCACTTCACTGAAGACTAAATCTGTAATAATTGCCAAAGGAAAAACAAATGTTTTCATACAGTACAGAAGTAAGAGCATATTGTATCAAGTGTTTACTCCAAAATCAGGGAAAATTCATATTTTAAAGACTAGAAATTTTCTTAAGACTTCAAAACATCTGGCACTTCAACATAACTCCATTTTTAACTTATATCATAAATCACTTCTAACTGAAATATTTCATTCTTTTCATACATACAAATATTAAGTTGTTGAAATTAATTTCTCCATCAATAATGATTTTAAAATCTAAAACCAATACTTGAATACACAAACAAAATGCTACATAAATTAAGATAGAGTGAAAAACATCAGTAAAAGAGAGGAAGAGTACATATCGTCTAAATATAGCGTTTAGAGATACTACAAGGTAAATGTAAATTGGTGGCTAGTTAGACTATTTTGAGATTTGTTACTTTACACTGAAGCTTTTTACTGAGATACTTTATTAACTGTAACAAATGTTAACGTAAAAAATTCAAGCATTTTGTTATTTCACAGACTATTGTCAGTTACCTTGTTTATGCACAGAGCAATAGCAAACCTGAGAGAGGGAAAAAAAACCCCAGAGCTCTAGAGAGCTAAATCCTTACTAACTAAATTTTAAGAGGCAAAGAGGTGTGAAGGGCTTTAAGTAGAAACCAAGCCTCCTGCCTCAGCTGTTCGGGATTTTCAAGGCAGGCAGAGAAAGTGATAAAACCTAAGCTTAGTTAGGATAATGAGCCTTAGAGAATCTTGTGGGGTTGAGGTGGTTGTTTAAGCTTACTTTTTCTGGCAGTAAAGGCCTCTAGGATTAGTGCTTTAAGTTTGTTTCCAGTAATCTTGGAAGGTCTGGTTTTGTTGTGGTTGGTTTTGTGTGTTTAGCTTGTACCTTGGTAGTTTTGTTTATCAGTCTATCCTAATATCTTGTGTTCTGAGATTATAAAAGTTATTTGTTTGCATGAACTCTGTTTTTTCTTTTTCACTGGAATGGTTTCCTTCATTTCCTCAAGTCTGCTGTGTGGCCGTGAAAACCTTTATTACCCCATTTCTGTTATGATGCAGGATCTAGCAACAAACAATAGTGGTAAAGATGGCAAAGGAAATACTTGTGGCATAACTTAGCAGCTAAACTTGAAAGGAATTTGCTGTCAACAAGGACAGGCATCAGGCTTCACCCAACAAGAGTTTGAGCAGATAATTTTGTGACTTAGTCATAATCCCAGCAGAGCTTTGTCCCGTTTTCTTTAATGCTTTTCCCTTCCCAAGCACCCATCTTATCCAAGAGTAGTTTCCTATGCCATGCCCAGGTAGAGGAGCTTCCTGTGGGCTTTTAGGCTGCAGACAAAAATTCCCCACTGCTGATGGGAATTGTTGGTGCGTCACTTTGTGGGCCTCAGGGGTGCAGAGAGGATGGCATGGGGTGACAGGGGTCTTCAACCAGACACAGCCTGTCTCCAACAGAACTGCATGGAGGGACTTTCCTTTTGTCATGGGCTTCCTCATGGCTAACTGGGAAAGGGAGCTTGGCACTATTTAAAAAAAAAATTAAGTTTTTTGTATTTATTTGGTCAAGTGACATCTCGTGTCTTTGCAGCGGAATTCTAAAAAACATTGTTTGGGTCTTGTTTGGCATTGTGGTTTGCAGGATTTGGACTGCACTCAAATGACTAAAATTGCTCTTTTTATGTCCTTCCTATCATTAGATCCTGTGAGCCAGGAGTATCCTAATGCAAAAAAATCTTCATTTATTTAGCAATTTTAACTCTAAATAGCAAGTGACTAGAAAAGTAATATTATTATTTTTGCAAAGCTGTTAACTATACACTGTGCTGCAGTGAAACTCAGCATGAGAT